ATGTTGTTACCATGGAAGAAAACACTGTGAAGGAAATAGATCTGAAAGTGAACATTTATTTTTACTTAGTTTACTTAGTTTTACTATAATTTAATCAGCACATTTTAAAAAAATGTAAATAAGTATATGGATTTTTTCGATTATTTTTGTCCCTTATGATTGATGATAACAATCATTCAATGTCATTTTCTTGTTCAGCTCGAATCTTGAGCTTTTCTGTTGTGAACTGCTTAGGTACTGCAAGGCTTCATCTTTGTAATGGAGTAACATTTTTAAGATTCTTGGAAAACCATCTATCCATGATTCCAAAGTGGGCTGTAGTTGAAATCTAGGGTAGTGGTAGTCTGAAAAATATAAAATGGGCTAGCATTGGGGTGTTTCTAACTTTTCTATCTATATATGTTACTGATCCAGTACCTGGTACCATAAGGAGTGCCTTGAAACAGAAAGAGAGCAGCAAGAAAGACTAGTGATCATTCCTCTCCTTTTCTTCTGCAGTGTGACCACAAATAGGCTGGGACATTTGTGGTTTTGCTCTTGCTATGTGAAGAAAGTGAGCACTTGACACCTCTCCAAGAGGAGCCATCAACTTCTTTTTACCGCAACAGATTTAAATCAAATGTTTGTTTTGCAAAAAGTGTTGCCAGGAACAAGGAAGTTAGCAGAACGTTGCTCACTCTTTGATTTGTGGACATCTGATTCCAGTTGTCAGACTGTGTGACTTCTGAGTGAGCTGCTTTAAAAAATGTTACCCTGACTGTAACCATTACGCTTGTTTCAGGTTGCATTGTCCACGTTTGCTGTGTACGTCAAAATAAACAAGAACAACGTCTTGGATGCTCAGAAGGCGTTTGTTTCCCTAGCATTATTCAACATCCTCAGGTTTCCATTGAACATTCTTCCTATGGTTATCAGCAGCATAGTAGAAGTAAGATTTCGGTCATTAATGGGTGTTTCTATGCAGAAGTAGCCCCTGGGTTGAAAGATTACGTTCCTGTGCTTAGAGAGTGTCCACTGGTGAAATGCAGCCACCTCAGAAAGGGAGCTTTGCATTCCTTGGGGTTAAATGTTGTGCAAGCAAAATTATCAATCCCAGTTATGGTGGATGGGTGTTCTTCAAATCAGCCATGTTCTTGTGGTTTGGGAAGTGTGATTTTGATGACTTTCTGAGAAACTATGCAATGGATTTAAGGAGGGATAATAATGATGTAATGTATATGTGGTGCAAAACAAGCAGCTTGGAAATATAATTTAGCAGAATATGAGATGGTTTTGCATCCCTTTCTTATGCAGGCCAGCGTTTCCTTGAAGCGCCTTAGGGTCTTCCTGTCTCATGAAGAGTTAGATCCAGACAGCATAGTCCGGGGTTCCGTTACAGAACGTGAGTTTTCTTTTCCTGTTGAAAATCAGTGCGTGCAATTTTGGGTGGCTTCACAGTGTTTCTTTTGCTTTCTCTAACAAATTTACTGCATTTTTGTGGATTTCACTGATAAATTTTAGCCAGGAAGCAGAGAAGGCAGTTTGTAAAATGAAAATTATATAAAGTTTCTACTGCCTTCTCAGGTAACTTCTTTCCTCCCTCCAGTTCCTGTGTCCAAACTACAGAATGGTTACATCCAGACACAGATGGTGACTTTAAAAATTACTTGTTAGACTATTTTAAGTGTAACCATAGGATGATAATTAATGCTGTGCCAAACCTCAGCATTTTGGAGAACAGTCATGTAACAGCCTTGAAGGAGAAAGGATAAGTCCCAGTTCTGGCAATTGCCTCTTCTAATCTCTGTTTTGTGCAAAGAGCGATACTCCCAGCGTCGCTCCCACTGTATCCAGTGGTCTGCTTATATGGAGCCATTTAGGGGACAGATAAGCATGAAGGCATATTTACTCAGAAACTAATGCCCTTTTTCTTGCAAAACAAAACTTTAACTACATCAGTCATTTCTAAATTATTTTTTTCTTACTTCATTTTTACAAAGAGAGTGAAATCTCCATCACTCTGTCTCAAGCAGTTAGTTGAGCTTTATATCATTTTAGTCACTTGGCTTTCCAGTAAGCAGTTACCTGCTGTATTTTTTTTTTTTCTCTCCATCTTCCTTCTGGGAATATCTCCTCCCCTTTCTTATGATATACCTGATAACCCTGAATACCTTGCTCGGAAATCTTTAGTGTGGTGGGGTGTGGTGTTTGGTAGTTGGTTTTGTGTTGGTGTGGGATTTTTTGTGTCTGTAATGGCTCGTACTTGCACACTAATGTAAATATTTACCCAGGCTAAGTATTTTTTGCATACTTGGTTGAATTAGGAGTGGTATATTTTGAGTTGTCACTTGAAAATAGATACCGGTACCATGCAACGTTTCACCAAACAGTATTTTTGATCAAAGTTATTTTATTTGGTAGTTTGATTTATTTTCCTCTATCATTCTTATAGTAACTTGGCTTCACGCATGGAACTGGCAGTTTAGCTGATGCTTCCATTGAAGCACAAGTCAGACCGAGGCTGCTAGTTTCTTGAACTGACTTTGTAGTGCTGCAGTGGAGTTGCTGGATAAAGGAGGATGCAGCTGAATAAGTCAGGGTCTTTGTATGGTTGATATTCATGTACCTACTGGTTACTGAATAAGTGTAACCTCAGAACCTCTGCTGTCTTGATAACTTCAGTAAAAGCAGAATACAAGCTTTTGGTAAGCAGTGGGTTGTTGCTTTGCTGAAAAAGTAGCTTTATACCTCTGCCTAGGTGTGCTTAGATTGACTTCTGAGGCATGATCTAGATCATACAATTCAGCTGCTTGCATTGGCACTTTTATAAATATGAATTTTCTGTTTGTCAGCTGAAGGAAGCATTGTTGTAAAGAATGCAACGTTTAGCTGGTCCAAAAATGATCCTCCTTTACTGAACAGGTAAGAATTAATACCCTTTGGTCTGCTTCATAATCTTGCTGCATCATAAATTACCTGTATTTGAATTAACAAAATCTATGTGCAGAAGAATTTGTTGCCTTAAAGGAACAGAAGAACTAATAACATTTGTTCTATATTTTTTAAACTAGGGGTTTCATGAACTAGAGGAATTTACAAAGTGTGTTGTATGTATGGAATGTATAAAGGGGAGTAGCAAGAGATACAATGGGAGGAGAGAGAGCCTCAGATTTCAAGCTCTTACTCCATGCTGCACATGAGATGAGCTCCATCTAGAGGATGCAGCCAGATTAGCCCCTTGTAATTATCCCTAGTCCCTCATGTTTGCACTTACGTCCTCAGAGTCTTCCTCTTAAAATAGTACTCTTGCTGAACTGTAGCTGTCCTTGATTCTTTTGCTGGAGAAAACCAGTGAAGAACCTTGCACGTGGTGTGACTAACCAAGTAACTGTGGTGATGCAGCTACAACCTGTGTCTTCCCTGTGCCCTGTCCCCTTCCTTAATTTTGGCTGCTCTTTCTTGTGCCTTAAATTGTGTATTCTTTGGAACAAGGATGCCGTTTGGGGAGCATCCATTGGTATTTATATTTGTGTTCACAGAACATTTGAGACATACTGGACAGGTTGTGTCACAGTGCCTTTTCTCTTTTATTTTTTTCCCCCCCTTTGACTAATTACATATTAAGATGCTATGTCCCAAGCATAAGAAGAGGTGAGTGCGTTCTGAATGAGAAGTTTGCATTTTCAAACAGTTAAAGTTTCTGTGCTGTGTCAACATTTGCAGTGAGTGTTCACATTGCATCTGCTTTTATATGGACTGTTCGGTAGACTGTAGCTACTGGGATGTGCCAGCAAGCAAGGCTGAATGATGTGCGCTTTGTTTCAGCATTAACTTCACTGTTCCTGAAGGCTCCTTGGTAGCTGTTGTTGGTCAAGTTGGCTGTGGAAAGTCTTCATTGCTGTCTGCATTACTCGGGGAGATGGACAAAAAGGAAGGCCACGTGGTTGTCAAGGTGTGATGTGTCTGAAGAATCTTTCAACTGTTTGTGGGTATTGCCAGAGAGATTCTAGATTTCCAAGTGATGTGAAGGGGGGAAGAGACAACCTTTCGAATGAATGTGGTTTTTAGCCTGATTTCCTGGCAAGCCATGTATTTGGCTTCACCTGCACTCTTTGTAATTGCCTGTTAAGCCTTGACCCAACAATTTCTAAATCTGTTAGTTTCAGATTTACTTAAATAGGCAGAACGATGGAGATGAGTATTCTGGTGAGTCTTGTTGGCAGCCAGGTGTGAGGCAGGGAGACCATATTATACTTACTCCAGCCTGAGGAAGAGCAGTATTGGTTCAGACTGTCTTAGAAATCAGAGAATTGCAAGGAGAGAGGGTACACCCAGATACCCAAACATGGGAAAAGCTGCTGTTGTAGATTGTGCTTAGATGTCAGAGTTGCACAGAGCTCACAGAGGAAAAATGACCTGGAAGTAAGTAAATAACTAAGTAAAAAAGTCCTTGTTTTGGATTTTGCTGCTGCTGTAACGTATGGAAAGAGAATTATTTTAAAAGCAAAACAAATATGTTGCATTTAAAAGAACACACATTTGGTAACCTCCAAAATTGTTCTGGAAAAATAAAGTAGGTGATATCTGAATCACTGACTATTTACTCAGAAGGAGAAGGCAGAACTAATCTTCAAAGCAAAATACTTTGCAGTAGCTCCTTGAAGTCGCTTCCTTTGAAGAGGCTTCTTCCACTACTTTCTGCAGAAATATCTTGGCACAGATGCGTTTGTTAAACATTCCAGATTAAATTGTTTTATGCAGAACATAATTTTTAACTACATGAAAGAGCTAATGACTTTTGACATTAAGTAATTGTGTAAACGTATTCTTTAAACAAATGTTTCCCCCAAGTTTATGTTAGAGAATCATATATTTTTTTAAGTCCTTTGTTTTCCACTGACAGGCTTTGTTACATTCACTTGTAGAGAGGGTTATAAAAATAGCATTTTGGAGGAGGTGGCAGCCCAAGAACTACTTCGTGCAGTTTTGAAATGACCATCTCAATGCTCTGCTGTGCTTTGACTTTGTGTGCAGACTTTTAGTCTAAAGTACTGAATAAGGAACTTTTCTTTCAGGGCTCAGTAGCCTATGTTCCTCAGCAAGCCTGGGTCCAAAATGCAACTTTGGAAGATAATATTATCTTTGGAAAGGAGAAGAATGAGAGCCGGTACAAGTGTGTGATTGAGGCTTGCGCGCTGCTGCCTGATATCGAGATTCTTCCTACGGGAGACAAAACAGAAATAGGAGAAAAGGTATTTAAACACCCACTCTACCATAACAGTGCTATTGCTATTGCTTGTAGTTAAGGCCATATGACTTCTATTCTACTTTATTGTAAAGTTGTATTGAATTTAAAACATTCAGAGAAGAAATCGACTAGAACAAGAGGCAGATTTGACCAGTATGTTTTCCTTGTCTTTAAGCCTCAAATGGGAGGAAACCTGTCTTCAATTACAAATGCAAGAGCATCTTGCAGTCACAGTTCTTAATAATATCTAAGTTGCTATGGTCATAGAGCAGAAGAATGAACACTTCGGTTTCATTTAAAACAAGCAAACAACTCCCTCTCTCCCCCTGCCCCAAACCCCTCCAATTAAACCCAAACCCCAAAAAACAAACCACAAAAACAACCACCACCCCAAAATTGGCACTTGGTTGCAAAAGTATGTGTGATGTGGGATTTAGAAACTTGCATAGATATTGTAGGGCTCTGCTCTGGGAGCAGGACTGGATACCCCCTAACCATGTGGCTAGCAAGGTGTATCTGTTTAACCTGCTTGGCGTTCCGCTAAGCTGATGTTCTCCGTAAGACAGAGATATCTAGGGATGCGTGCTTTGCCTGCTGTCTAGTTATAGGAGGGGTACAGCTGCCAGCCCCAGATTTGGTAAAGGATGCAGCTTTATCTTCCTCGTTGGTCAGCAGGCCAACCAAGTCGTACAGTGTGGACAAAGTTTGTTTATTCAATCAGAGGGAGCACTGCAGAAATACAACGGAGAAGAAAAGTGGCCTCTGAATGTACAGAGTTAGATATATTAGTCTGGGATAATCACTTTGCAAGACTAGTAAATGCATTTTTTTGACTAGCCTCTCACTGACAGTGAGAACTTAATAGATATGCCCCCTTCCAAGAGGATTTTGACTGTGATTGCTTATGCTGTTTGGTAGTGAAATTATTTGTGGTGGAGATCTGTTTCGTACAATGTCGAAATTTCTCCAATTTGCATAAACCACTTGTGACTTGTGTCTTTCACAAACTGTAACAAGACATCTCTTTTCAACTGTAAATGAAGGATCATATTTTCTTGTTTCCCCAGGGTGTGAATTTGTCTGGAGGACAGAAACAGCGAGTCAGTCTTGCTCGGGCGGTTTACTGTAATGCAGATATCTGTCTACTTGATGATCCTTTATCAGCTGTTGACGCTCATGTTGGGAAACATATTTTTGACAAAGTTATTGGACCAAAAGGAATCCTGAAAAATAAAGTATGTCATAATGAGATACTTGTCTCTAGAGATTTATTTGTTTTTCTTTGCTGAGTTCAAATGATTCCAAATTTGTCAAGTTGCATATTCAGATTTTTGTTTCAGACATCGGAAAAACGAAGGGATCTTTCTGAGATTTTGAGAAGACTTTTATAAAACACTGGGTTTTTATAATGCGATGTGCTCTGGTTTCTGTAATTCAGAATTCTTTGATGCAAAAATCAAGACAAGGATAGTATTTTTTCTTAAAAATGCTGCATGCCTGTCCATACTTATTGCTATGTTATACACAATAACATAGCAATTTATGTATGTTATAATAAGCTACTTACTTACGAATTTAAGTAGCAAGAGCAGTAGTTCAACCATTGCATTTACTAATTTAAGATGTTGAGATGTTAAAAAAAGCTTTTTCTTTTTCCTTTTGCTGTTTAGACACGGGTTTTGGTAACCCATGCAATCAACTATCTGCCTCAGGTGGATACAATTCTGGTAATGACTGATGGAGAAATCTCTGAGATGGGCTCCTACCAGGAGCTGCTGAAGCAAGATGGGGCTTTTGCTGAGTTTCTTCGTACATATGCTAATGCTGAACAAAGCATGGAGAACAGTGGTAAGCTTACAAATAAAATCCCTTGGGATAAGCTGATGTGTGGCATGTTAAGGGAGTCATGTTAAAGGAGAAATGCTAGGAGTGGAAGGAAAGTTAAAAGAAACTACTATTTCTTGTGATATACTTGTAGAGAGAGGTGCTTATTTCTTGAGGGCATTGAAAGTTGTGAGATTAAACACACGTTCTTTTTTAAAATTTAGGAAACTGTGGAGCTGATCTGTGGTAAAATTCCTTTCACTTAGAGCAAAATTCAGATGGTTGTGAGATCAAGTAAAGGCCAGCTGGGCTTTGTACACCCTTCCTGTGCTTATTAGGATGTGCCTTCTTTATGCAGATAATTCCTTTGGGGGTGGAGAGGCGGAGAAAACAGCTCATTTTTCTAGCTGGCGTCCCTGACTCCTGCTTGTGCTTTACAAAACAGCTGTAGAGCTGCACTGATAACAGAAATATACTTTTTATATACATATATATTTTTTATTTTTTTTTTACCTGCAGACGGTTGCAGTATTGGGTTTTAATAAGGGAGCTTAGTCTCTTGCCTCTAGCCTGTCTTCTTCAGCGGCTTACCTGTGGTGATTTCCTGACACTCCTCCATATGTTCATGCCGAAAAGTATGGGGGATGCTGGCGCTGTGCTGACTGGGGTTAAGGTGTTGGTGTGTGCTTGAAGCCTGTTCGGTAGCAGATGCCTGCTGCTGAGTGCTGCAGAGCAAGATCTCCAGAACAAGGAAGGCATCGAGCCCACTTCTCCCTTCATCTTCCATTTGGAAAACGCTTGGTTCCCACCCGTTCCCTAGAGGGAAGTCAGAGGCATTTTTTAGTCTATTCCTCACATGCCTGTTACAGGCAAAACAGAAATGGTGCCACATTTAGCTGCCCTGATGAAGCTGTGAAATGTTGAGAGGTGTTGAGTGGCTGCCTTTGGCAAGGGACTACTCCTGCTGTTTATCTGAAAGTTCCTCGTGCAAGGGCTGTGATGGTCTGCCCAATTCTCTGAAGCTGCCCTCTACTATCCAGGCTGCCAACACAGACTGTTCTTGGAGGCTGTGAAGGAGCGGAGTTTTTCCCGCATGTGCAAGGTGACATCTTCTCCTGGTTCCCTCTCATGCACCTAGCTGTCCCTGATGGGGGGCTGAATTTCAGGGTGATGTGTCGAGCTGAGGCTTGAGGTCAGGGTGCCCTGCTGTGGGATTGCTCTCCTCTTGGAAAGGTCTCTTGATATGTGTTGGTTGTCGCTCTGCAGACTGAGAGGCTGGTTGGGGTGGACACTGTCTGTAAACAGGGAGCGCTGCGTGGGTGGGGCCTCCCACTGTGAAAAGCACTGCAGGAAGAGATTTTGTGGAAGCAGAACCAGGCTAACTTCTGTGTGTTTTCTGTTGGTCCTTCTATAGCTACTTTGGGCACAGTCAGACTTGTTGCAGTCTTCACTGTATGAGTCTTATGGAGACAAATTAACTTTCTCTGCACTTTTGTAGGAAGTTAACAAGTTGACTTGTACAATGATTTGCCTCCTTTAATAGCCTCGTTCTTTTAGCCTTTGTCTCCCCCTCTTTCCAAGTGCATGGCAGGTTTTGAAGTGGAGAAGTGATCTTCTGCCAATGGTAAAGAGTGAAAAATAGGGACGTTGTTTGTCTGGTTCACAGGGATAATAATATTCATTAGATGTGTAAAAGATCACTAAATATTACTGAAAATAACAAGTTCTTAGATAAACACTGGATAATCTGTGATGGAAGTCAGCCTGAGCTAGCTGGAGGGGATCTGTACACCCACTTTAAAGGGGAGGCTCTGTTATTTCTGAAGCTACATGTTGGCAGCCTGAAAAAACTTAAGCTGGAGCAAAATAGAAAACTGTGGATTGCTGCTTTCTGGCTGGAATATATCCTGCTTCTGTGCAAGGATGGGAAAGCCTCTCCTCTTACCCCAGCCTCTGTGGTTTGGCTGTGAGTCTGCTCCCCATTGCTTCCCAGCCTCTGTCCCATTGGGATTCCTGAGGGTTACCTGCTGTCTGTGCTGTACTGCTGCCTTCCCCATCCTCAGCTTCAGCATTTCTTGTGTGTGGGAAAACGCCCCACTTGAGAAAGCTGCCCCGGCATGAGTCTGCGGGATGGCTCCGAGGGGAGGTGGGAGCTCCCTCTTCTCCAGCATCCTGCTTGATGCAGAAGGCAGCAACAAGGGTGGCGGCAGTAGCTGCTCAGCCACAGGGAGTGCAACATGCAGCACTGCTGCTTTCGGCTGTGGATACATGAAATGGGTGCCTTACTGTGTCTACGGTGTGTAATCTTCTCCAAAGTAGAACTACATGTGAAATTAACCTACCAGGCTGTATAAAAAGCATCCACATTTGTCTTGCTTTTAGCGGTTGTTCCATTCTCTGGCATTTAGTGTGGCTGGTTTGCCAATGCCAATGTGAGTCCTGCCTGTGCAGGTGGGTCTGGAGTCATAGATGTGCCCTTGACTCCTTTTAGCGCGTTTCTGTTCTGGTGTCCCCTGCCACCTCCAGACTTGTAACTGTTGCTGCAATACCTCTTACTGTACAGATAGCACATAGTTACTTTAAGATTACCTTCTTTTGACTGTTTTCCCTATTTTCCCATACAAACCAGTGCATCAGATGTTGGTTTTTGGTTTAATGTGTGTAGGGGTTGGGGTTTTGCTTTTTTTTTTCCGACTGGCTCCTGCATAAACTTTGGTTTGTCCTTGAAAAGCCTGGAGCTATTTTTATTTTTTGTGGGGAGTAAAAGTGGCTACACAGAAGTGCAACTGCACCATAAGGTTGAAATATTTTTTTAACTGGTTCGTCTTTGGTCTTGACTGCAGTGCCTGAAAGATAGAGATGTACAGCACAATTAGTAATTCCAAATCTGGTTTACATTGTGTGGGCGATGCTTCAGATGGCTCTGTGACTTCGCAGTCAAATAAAAAGCTGAAAGACCTTTTAATGGCTTAGTTCATTTTTTGTATGAGAATTGTCAGCACAACAGGTTACTCAGTTTTGTTTTGGAGAGGAAGGGGTATAAAAGTACTCTAAGAACTGCAAAGGGTGTTTAGTTCATCAATCTGCATATCTCCAAGGGAAGACTCTGGATCTGTCACTTGTAGCTATTCCATTTGAATGTCTTAGAATTTTTTCTTAAATTTTGTGGCTCAATTCCCCAAATTTCAGCTGTTGTCCTGTACAAAGTAGAAATCTACTTTCTGAAAACAATAGTGTAGTACAGGAGTAAGATTTGCAGGGCCTTGCTTGGCCTCTAGATAAATTACTTTGGAATTGCAGCAGTGAGGAGAGAAAAAAAGAAAAAGATTTATTTTAAAGTGCTTAATTTGAAAGGAAGATAGCTATCTTGCTGAATAGCTTTGTATGATACAGTAGGTAGTAGTTTGTATTTAATAATAAAAAATAATTCTGCATTATGGGCTGGGGTTTCATATCGCAAGGAAGAGCAGTGTGCCTTCAGGACTAATGCTGTCCCCCAGTAAAGGCCAGCACACCTCTGTTTTGTGGCTGTGCTTCTTTCGAACAGCATGAGGCTGAGTTAAACTTCATAGCAGTGTTGGATGATAGCTTGTATGATGCCTGTAGAGATGGTTGGGTGCTTCTCTCCCTTGTGACTCCTTGGAAGGCAAGAGTTAAATATTGAGATGCATTGGCTTTTTTCCAAATGTTTTTATGGAGTCTGGACCTGAGTAGTAATTCAGGAAACACCTGTCTGCATCAGGAAATAGTCTTTTTCTTGAATTCATTTTAGTTGTCTGCTAGCAAAGTTCAACTCTTTCCTTTCTCTTTCCTAAAGTAAAAGCTATTTGCAGCCTCTGCCCCAAATGGCAGAAGCAAATATTGATTCAAGATGAGTGCTGTTAGGATATCTATCAGGATACTTGGAAGCATGAAGTATCTCACTGTTTCTTACTAATCTGTCCGTGCAGGATGATGACTGGGGGCTACAGAGCAGATGGGACTAAGTAAACCTGCTGCTGCAGCTCTCCTCTCATTGCAGTTGCATGACTAAAGCAAGGCAGAAGATCAGAGCTGTGGAAGGAGAGACCATGTGGACAAAAGTGCCACTCTGAAAACATGATGCTTTGCGTCTTTAATGTTAATGTCAGGGAGTCTCTTAAGATTCCTTGAAAGAAGTCTCTTCCCTGCCACTGGGGAAAATGCATATGGTAGTTCCCTGTATGTAGTGAGGTTTTTCTGTTGTTGTCAATGGGAGACCACTTCAGAGTAACTTTCTTTGATTTGTTTGATTCTTTCTTCATTAGGGCGTATCTTGAAGGAAAGGAAGTTTCTTGATCTGTCACTTGTAGCTGTCTGATTTGGATTTTTTCTTTTTCATCAAGATTGTCTTTTTTTGACTGTGTGTGAGGCTTGGGATTAAAAAGAGGTCCATTTCAGCAAATTTGATTCTGCCCTGGGCATTTGTGGTTTTGTGGTTTAGATTGTGCTACTTGGATTCATTTGTGTTTGTAAAAATTGAAAATGGTTGAGTGCATTCTGGAGAAAGTTAATTATATATACTTTTAGACTCAGATCTTTCGTTAGAAGGAACGATTCAACCTCTGGAAACAGGTAACTGCTTTTTTGCCATGTGACTATGTTAGTGCTTGTGTTGGAGTAATATGAGTAGCTGCAGTTCATTTACAAGAGACTGAGTCATTATTAGAAGAATTTTGTCTGCACAATAGAAGGTATCAGCTTGGTTTGCATGTTGCTTGTTTGTGTGATGCTACAGCAATTGGTGTGTCAGATTGTAGATAACTCATCAGCAGCAATTCCTTATCTCTGATGCTTCCATGAGGAAGCTTTAAATAAACTTTAAAGATGCACTCTGGACTTAAAGAGTGTAGTGAGTGTACCCAGAGAGGCATTGTTCAGAATTGAACCCCAAAGGTTCTTTTTGTTCTCATGTGTGTTCAGTACTTTGCAGCTGTTCCCTTTTATTGTTTCTGAACAGGTTTTCCAACAGAGCCCTCATTAGTGAGCTTATACTCTAGGTGCACATGCCAGATTTACTATGGCAATCTTGAGCATTTGCTCGTTCTCAAGAGGTAAATGCAGTATAAGCAGGAAGTCTTTGTAGCCTACAACATGAAATCAAATTTAAGAGCTGTTAGGGCAGGATGGTTTATTTGTGGTTTTGTTTTGTTCATGTGGGTTTAGAACTTCAGTGATGCTCTAAAGCAATATGACACTGGAATGCTTGCTGGTTTTCATATGGGAGCCTTTAAAAAAAAATGCTGTCAAATGCTTAAAATAACCAGCAGTCTCGTACTGGTTTGCTCTCTATTTCATATAAATAGAAACAAGAGTGAAATAATTGAACTCTCTCCTTTTTCAGATTTTCTGTTTTTCTTCTAGACCACACTGAACAGTTTAGCTTTGGGTTTTTAGAGTAATGAACCAACGTTCAGTCTGCAGACACAGGAGGGAACACCTTTATGTTCAAGCAGTCCACACTTAATTTATTGGTGAACTGTTTTATGCATATATTTTGCTTCATTATAAAAACATGAAAACTTTGGACTTTGTCTACACAAATTTTCCTGCGTATCTTTTGAATAGATGCAGGTGGGCTTTTTTATTTGCACAAGCTATGCATAAACCTTTTAAAATGCAAAATTTTTTTTTTGTTACATCTTCTGAATTAACTTTCATACTTGAAAATAGAGTTCCATTTAATAAAGTTAATTTTTTAGGAGTCAGTCGTTTGGTTTGGAAATGATGACATAACTTGAACCTAGAAGTTTTACTCATGGCACTGTATTACACTGAGTTAAGTTACTCGGAGAAAGCTTAATATTTCAAGCTGACAGGTTTTGTGAAGTGTTTTAGACAACTGTCTCGTGTATGCTGCATCTTGTTACAAATGGGATGTTGTGGGATAACAAGACACTTTTTTTGAGAGATGACATTCATAGAAAGATCTCTTGCTTAAATTAATCTGATTCCTATGGTTGCTTAAAAACACCAGGCTTTTGCATGTTGCTTTCTGCTTAATTTTGCAGGAAGGCTCAAAGTTAATAGTACATGCTTTCTGTTCTTGCAGCTTCACTCCATCATTTACTAGAGTGTCTTCTCATTGCATTCTGAAATGAAAATAATTTATAGTTAACTGTGTAAAAGATGTGGTTTGAAAAGGAGTGGTTGGATTGTTTTGTTTGTGTTTTTTTTGTTTTTTTTTGTTTTTTTTCACTGGGTAAATCATAGTGTGACTTGGTATTGCATGCTTTAACATAGAGTATGTCCTCATAATTATATTACGTTATTATTACTGACTTAACATTTGGTAGAAAAACAGAAAAATAAATGTTCACTGTCTTGGCAACTAGTACTGTTAGGGGCAGAACTAAACTGGTGATTTGTTCACCTGGTCAGTTATCTCTTAGTGTGTGTAAATACTTGTGTTCCTCTCTCTGAGCATTAGGACTGCACCTGGCATATAGGATTGAAATGAAACCTTTGTATCCTTTTGTTTACCATTTTCATGTTTACTTTTTCACCACCCCCAGATACAAATAGTCCATCTGGAAAGGAAGGAAAGCCTGTAGAAAATGGAGTCCTTGTGAATGAAGCCTCTGGAAAGTTGGTGCATAGGTGTGTAGTCTCTGTCTGTTTTTCTCCTTCCCCCCTTCCCTTTTCCATCCTGTTACTCAGTTGTGGTCAAACAGTAATTTGGTGTTTATGGTATTTGTTAGCGGAAAACGTATCATGTTGAATCCAGCAGCTTGAGAGAGACAAGGCTGCTGCTGCTCCATGGCTCCAGGTCCAGCAGTAGCAAAGCTGAAGATGTACTCCCAGCAGGCACACACACGTAGAGTGTACGTGGCCGGCCACACACATCATGGGCACTTAGAGCACCCACACAAACGCAGCGCCAAATGGCCTCATTCTGTCCCCATCTCCGGCTAAGCAGCATGGAGGTTTACTAGTGAGAATATAATATGTGTGTATGTAGAAGGTGGACCCCTCCACTGGTTGGGCCCAGACAGGGTCTGCCCAGTAGCTGTCCCTGGATCCGGATCTCGGCAATTGCTGGCACCTGGGCGTACGAACCTCTGAGACTGCAGCCCGGGTGCTGGTACAGACTGTTGCGAATGCATGTCTGCAGACACAGAGCTCTTGTGCTCTTCTTTCCATGTGAAGAAACAATTGTGTTGTAGTAAGATACCATGGGTCTGGCTCACGTGAAAGGGAGAGTATCGTGTTGGCTAGTGCAGCTTTCATACGCTCTCCCAAGGCTTCTGCCGTTGACTGCTGTCAGGCGGGATGAAGTGCTAAGCGGACCTTTCGTCTGACCTAGTACAGCTGCTGTTATGCTTGGGAGAGGGCAAAGGCTGTCACTCTGATTATGCCTTCCCAGAATCAATCTCTAGTCTATGCCTTATTCTTATGGTGCTCTAGAGATCCTGTGTTTTTGGAAGCTGGTGAGTGCCTGGGAGTACGATTGCCCGTTTGATGCCAGTGTGGGTACCCTTTTTGTACTTCAGCAGCTACACTGTATGTGATGGTAGGGTTGTAAAGGCTGATGATGAGCACCAAGCATTTTTCTTTCTGGAGTTTGATCGCTCAACCAAGACTTCTTTGACTGGCTCTGGCTAGCCTGTTACTTGTATCTGAAGATGGATACTTGAGAACTGGTGCTGCCAGGATTAGGATGCACTGTGAGGGAGGAGGGAAACACTAGTAACCACTGGCCTGATGATGACTGGTTAGGACATTAATTACCACCAGAATAGTGTAAGTTACAGACTTGGAGCCTTGACTGTTGAAGTCTGTGAAGTAAACACCTGGCCTGTATCATGTTAAGACTGAAAAATAAATGTCTCCGAACAGGCAACTCAGTAACTCTTCAACATACAGCAGAGACACTGGGAAGTCACAGCACCAGAGCAGCACAGCAGAGCTGCAGAAGCCACTTGCTGAAAAGAATTCCTGGAAACTGATGGAGGCTGACACAGCGAAGACTGGGAGGGTAAGGTCTCCCATTCCCACATCCCACATTCTCTTTCAGTTTCAGAAAAGTCCACAGGGTTCCAAAGAAAATAACTTTCAAAGACCATGTAACTGGAGTGAGAATGGTCTGGGTGGATTCTTGGACTTGCTGCTTGTTGTGTAGTGCTTCATGGAAGTGTTGCTGTGCCCTCTGCTCCCAAAGTTGAGCCCCAGGTTTGCGTGCAGAAAGGGTGCTGACACTGAAACTTTTATTTAAGATGATGGGCCTGACCACATCAGTGTTTAAAAGAAGAAATTAAAACCTTGCTGCTATTTCTTGGAAAGAGGTTGTGACAAATTAGGTGACCTAATGAGATCTGCCCTTTAGCTTAAGGGACTGGAATTGACTCAGATGAATTTAAGCCAAGTTTCCACTGCAGACATAAGTATCTAATCCCAGGATACCCAGGGCTTTCTGAGAAACCTGAGAGCGAGGTTCCTGGGAAAATGGCAGTTACACCTCCTAGCAGTGTTGCTTGAATCCTCTGGTTAAAGATAGATCGTAGGGTACAAGCTATGTGGAGCAAGGATTTAATTAAAGGCTATATAATCTTGTGGTAAAAAGAGAGAGCCAAAAACTGGAACTCCTCAGTGAAGGTTTTGGCTCAGCCACTGATGCTCTGTGTTACTTTAGGCAGCTTTCCCTACCCTTCCCTTCCCTTGGAAGACAAGGGAAAGATGATGTGACCCTGCCCTGGAGGGATGTCAGGTTTGGCATGTCTTCATAGAATGCTTGGCAGCTTTTGTTCCCAAGTGGCAGCTCTCTAGAGTCCCCTGATGCAGGGATACTGACTTTAAATAGCGGTTGAAGAAGGGGGAATTGCTGGTTTTGAAACAATCTGCAAAAATGAATTTCTTTTTTTTTCCCCCTTCTGTCATCAGGTAAAGGCAACAGTGTACTGGGAGTACATGAAAGCAATTGGACTCTTTATCTCTTTCTTAAGCATTTTCCTCTTCATGTGTAATCATATAGCCTCCCTGGCTTCCAACTACTGGCTAAGTTTATGGACAGATGATCCTGTTATCAATGGAACACAGCAGTACACAGATGTCAGACTGGGAGTGTATGGAGCGCTGGGAGTTTCTCAAGGTTTGCTTGGTCTTACCTATTTTGAGATCAGCTGGTTCAGAATATTTCTAATGCTCTTGGTGACCTTGTATCCCCAGAAGTGCAGCAGCAGTTTGCTAAGGATTTGTGTGTGTTGTTTTTTTTTTTCTCCTTTGTAGAAAGACAAAATCATGAGTGAATAAAACAAAAAAAAAAGACCAAACAAGAAAACCAACCTATAAAATTATTCAGTTAGTAAATATGTTTTCTTTTGTTTGTACAAAGCAAGAACGAAAGCGGTTTGCAGAGGCTGCTGAGCCAGCAGTTGGTGAATAAAATGTCTGGCGCAGGAAATGGCTCCTTGGCCTGTAAGTGAACCATGCTAGCCTGGTTCTCAGGGACAGTTTGTCACAGGAGGCCATGGCTACTCTGCCTCCCTGGCAGCCATGGTCTGGCCGAGCTGTGTAGGCTGGTGTTTCTTCTGACTGTTTGAGGGTCCATCCAAGGCACCAGGGCAAGGCCAGCTCAGTGGCTTTCTATGTTGTGATCAAAGTTTGTTTGCTATGAAACCTAACACCCAAGCACCCCGCTTCAGAATTGCCATAAAATCCTGAAATAAATGCTAAATGCTACCTTAAAACTCAGTGGTCTTTACTCAAGGAAAGTGCTCAAATATTACGAAAAATTTTGTAATGATGTCGTGGTTTAACCCCGGCCAGCAGTGAAGCACCACGCAGCTGCTTGCTCTCCTACCCCCAGTGGGATGGGGGAGAGAATTGGAAGGGTAAAAGTGAGAAAATGTGTGGGTTGAGATAAAGACAGTTTAACAGGGAAAACAAAAGCCATGCACACAAGCAAAGCAAGACAAGGAATTCTTTCACCTACTTTCCATCGGCAGGGAGGTGTTCAGTCATCTCCAGGAAAGCAGAGCTCCACCCTGCGTAATGGTTACTGGGGAAAACAAATGCCACCACTCTGAACATCTCCCTCTTTCTTCTTCCCCCACATTTATATGCTGAGCATGGTGGCATATGGTCTGGAATAGCCCTTTGGTCAGTCGGAGTCAGCTGTCCCAGCTGTGTCCCCTCCCAGCTCCTTGTGCACCCCCAGCCTATTCGCTGGGGTGGGTTGAGAAGCAGAAAAGGCCTTGGCTCTGTGCAAGCACTGCTCAGCAGTGATGAAAATGTCTCTGCATTGTCAACACAGTTTCCAGCACAAATCCAAAACACAGGCCCATACTAGCTACTATGAAGAAAATTAACTCTATCCCAGCACAAATGGAGAACCAACTTCCTCCATGAGAAAAATGTGGTGTTTTCACTGGTTTTGTTTGTTTGAGTTTGGTTTTGTTTAAATTACTTAAAGTAATTACTTGAGTCTACCTATAGCGAACCCCAGTTTTCAGGATTATTGTACTAGAGACACACTAATAGTAAGTGATGATAAAATGAAGGAAATTATTTTGTGTGAGAGGTGGAAGCAGTTAAAAACAAATCTTCTTTTCTAGGTATTGCTGTGTTTGGCTACTCGATGGTTGTGTCAATAGGGGGAATAATTGCTTCACGACACCTGCACCTTAACCTGCTGCACGATGTCCTCAGGTCTCCAATGAGTTTCTTTGAACGTACACCCAGTGGAAATCTGGTGAACCGTTTCTCTAAGGAGATAGATACCATTGACTCCACCATTCCACCAGTCATCAAGATGTTCATGGGCTCGACGTTTAATGTGATTGGGGCTTGTATCAGCATTCTACTGGCCACACCTATAGCTGCCATCATTATTCCACCTCTGGGACTTATCTACTTGCTTGTGCAGGTAGGGGATTTTACCTGGGGCCACTGGGACCAGCAGTGACTCATCCTCTGTTATTTAAGAATATTCATGCTCTGCACTAGGATGGATTTTAATGTGTTTGACTTGAGTTGTTCTTGACTGACTGTGCTTTGCATGTTTTATTGATAAGCTGATGTTAGCAGAGTGTTTCCTTCCATTTTTGAGTGTAGAATGACTTCTGTACAGAAGGTAATCCTGTAATACCTAAGCATACTTTATAAAAATGCCATTAGATTTTGGAGGCAAATTTTGTATAGCTTGTTGCTCAGAGCCCAAATATGGAAAACGTATGAGATTTTCTCAAACTTGCTTCCAAACAAAAGAGTAGCCTTTAGAGGGGTATGTGTGAATTGCTGATGCGCCTGTTTTGTCAGAATATTGTGTAGAGAGCAAGAGAAACGATGGTAGCCTTTCACTCCTGCCTTGTGTAGGCAGGGTGCGCTTGCTTCACTCTTGCCTTTACTCTTAGAAATCTAGTAGAGCCAGTAGAGGCTGGAGAGAAGAAACTGGGTTTTGACTTTGACTCTTGAATTAGTGTATCTGTCGGGCTCCTTTAGTAAACCTTAAAGGCAGTGATGTGTGTGTTTTATACTGTTGAACTAAGCTTGCAGAGAAGAGAAAGACGAGAAAATGGCTATCGCATGAGGTGGTTTGACTGGCAGCTGTTCAAAGACAGCAGAGTGTATATAAAGGGCTGGAGCACCTTTCCTATGAGGACAGGCTGAAAGAGTTGGGGCTGTTCAGCCTGGAGAAGAGGAGGCTCCGGGGTGACCTTATAGCGGTCTTCCAGTACCTCAAGGGGGCCTACAGGAAAGATGGGGAGAGGCTGTTCAGGAGGGCCAGTTATGATAGGACAAGGGGTAATGGTTTTAAAATAGAGGGAGGTAGGTTCAGGTTGGATATTAGGAAAAAATTTTTTACTATGAGAGTGGTAGAACACTGGAACAGGTTGCCCAGAGAGGTGGTGGATGCTCCATCCCTGGAGACGTTCAAGGCCAGGTTGGACAAGGCCCTGAGCAACCTGATCTAGTTGGAGATATCCCTGTTCCTTGCAGGGGGGTTGGACTAGATGACCTTTGAAGGTCCCTTCCAGCCCTAACCATTCTATGATTCTATAAAAGTGCTGGAGAAGGTGTATTTCGCATGTGTAACTTGAATCTCTGTAACTAACAGCCCAAGTAGCAGGGAACTCTCTTATGATTCCCTTTGTCTTTTCAGATACAGTCTGCATGTAACCGTAATTCTTATACTCTGATTTGCAGAGATTTTACGTGGCCACTTCTCGCCAGCTCAAACGCCTTGAGTCTGTCAGTCGTTCTCCTGTGTATTCTCACTTCAATGAGACCCTCCTGGGAGTCAGTGTCATTCGAGCCTTTGAGGAGCAGAAACGTTTCATAAAGCAGAACGACATGAAAGTGGATGAAAATCAGAAAGCTTATTATCCAAGCATTGTTGCAAACAGGTAACAGTGGGATTGAAACATTGTAAAGCAGTTACATAGAGAGGACATGGTTCTGCTGCCTGTGCTCCTTATCAATCACAGCTCTCGGAGTACTTGTCCAGGGTAGGGAAGCCTGTGTGGATATATCTGTTTCACAGATGTTTTGCTTAAACTTCTGTGATGGAACTAAGATTACTTCTGAATTTCTCTTCTTTCTGAGAGTTCCTGCCTTACTTCTGGGTAATATTTTTTTAAAAAGTTTTGATTCATTGATCCCAATGTTAACAAAGAAAGGAACTTATGCACCTGAAAGGTTCATTAATTTTGGATGCCTCTAGGTTTGCATTCTGCGGGGGAAGAACCTGGAGTATCTTGCAGTTCCTGTGTCACTGGCAGTATGCAGATGCCATATTACTAATCTTTTCAAAAACAAGATGTGTGACAGAACACTGGTTGGCCACATTCCTAATTCTCTGTGAGCGAATTACATTTTTCTCTCTTGCAGGTGGCTGGCTGTCCGTCTGGAGTACGTGGGGAACTGTATTGTCCTCTTTGCAGCATTGTTTGCAGTGATGGCACGCAACAAACTCAGTGCAGGACTGGTTGGCCTCTCAGTGTCCTACTCACTGCAGGTAATTTTATCTTTTTTTTTTTTTAGAAAAAAACAAAACTCTGAATTGTAAGACTGCGTCGGAAAGTCAAACCCTTGCTAAAGCTTTGGAGGGAAAACTAAAATAAGGAACACAGGAAGAGAATAATAACTACAAATGGCAGAAGGACACGGAGAAGTTCCTTCTCTGCCTTGCCTGTGTGAGGGAATGTGCCTAAGACGACTCATCCCCTGCAAATTAAAGGCATCTAGGAGACTTTTCTCCTGTCCAGCACTGATTAGCCGAGATCTTGTCTGTGTTTATGCATTCCATGAACTTGCAGTGCCTTGGTTGTTTTTGTGTTTTTTATTTATTACAGGTAACATATTTAGTGTAAACTGCTTCTAGACTTTTTTCTTCTTGCAGATTACAGCATACTTGAACTGGCTAGTTCGCATGACGTCTGACCTGGAAACCAACGTTGTTGCTGTTGAAAGAGTCAAAGAATACTCTGAAATGGAGAAGGAGGTACATTGAGTTGTCCACCACACCTGTAGAAGTCAGTGCCCTGTCCTGTGGTCTCCCCCACAGCGTGGCTGAATGGGTTGGGGAGCGCAGCTAGGGATGTCCTTTGAGCTGAGTGATGGGACAGAGCTTGATGCTGTCAGTGCCCTCCCTGTGGGGACAGACTGTGTCTTAACAGATGGTTCCTTTTGAGGTGCTTTTGAGGTGTATCTGCTGATATTTACACAGTGTTACTTGGGAAATGTGCTGTTCTGTCCTGAGCTGAGCAGTGGAGCTGTACAAATGTTTTGGTTTCTTAAGTGTTTAAACTTTTTTTTAAAAAAAATTTGTTTCTCTTTTTGCTCTCAGTGAGGGTGGTAAAGAGGTTTTACTTTTTTTGTTTCGATTCAAATCCCCTAACGAATCATTTCATCCGCAGTTGTGCGCCTTTTGGCTACAGAGCAGAGTTCCTCGTGGCTTCTATTTGCCATGCCTGCCATTTGAACTTGAGTCACTGTTTTTGCAGCCAAACCTTATCAGGACCCTTCCTAGAATTTTTTTTTCTGTTCTGGTAGCAGACCAGTGTTTATACAGTTAAAAGCCTTTTTGTTTGGCACTGGCAGTTAATGCAGTGAGGTGTATTCTCTCCTCTCTCACCTCTGTGGGAGGCTGAGGCAGCAGCTGTTTACTTTATGAGCTTGTTAATCTTTTAGTGCTTATGTCTCAGTTAAACTGCTTCTAGTTGCGTGTCTGGTTTCCCCAGTGGTTTCCTTACTGTGGTGAGGCTGTACAAGCAGGTTATCTGAATACACGCTGCCTGTATGGTTCTGCCATTCGTAAGAGGAAAGCTTATCCAGCAGAGAGAGGACTTGTGATAGCAAAGCCCTTGGCTACATGCCCCACTTCATCTGCCTTGGGGCCGCTCCTTCCCTCTCTTCCCATCATGATCACAGTTCCTTTTGCAAATTACACACTAACAAGGATTTTTCTTAATTGCTTTCTTCAAGTGCTCTGAGCCCATGTCTGGTTGAAGGAGGAACTGATCAGATATGTTTGTGTTGTTCCTTCAGGCTGAATGGAGTATTGAACAAACTGCCCCAGCGAGCACATGGCCCGAGGAAGGGAAGGTTGAGTTTCGAGGCTACGGTTTACGTTACCGGGAAGACTTGGATTTGGTTCTGAAAAACATAAATGTTACCATAAATGGGGGTGAGAAGGTAATGAATCTGAATTTATAGTTCAGTGTTACTAAGTCTGAATGCATAAGCCAAAGAGAGGTCTAACCCTGTTCTTTGGTATGTCTTGGGCCCCTAAGTACTAGAAGAGCTATAGAATCAGTCCTACTGTAACTGGCAGATTATAGTGGGCTTTTACCCATTTTTAAGGTGTGTCCTGCATCATGGGATAAAGATATACTATTATGTGGGCTTGTGAAGTGTCTTTTGATCTGGTTTCATAAGGCAATGATGTTTGTCCTGTCTTCTCTCCCTTTCCCTGGAAATTTTGCCAATTTGTTTGCTGTAAGCAAAGAGTAATAGAGTTTTGCAAAGAGATTAGGTTAATTTATAGCCTCAAGAAAATGAGCTATTAAGTAGAGGGGGAAGCCTTGATCTAGTGAGGCAGAAGTTGCAAGGTGAGACTCTGCAGGAAAAAACGGGACTTCAGAGTGGGTTCTCTGGATCTGGCCAAACTGATGGTGATATGTGCGTGTCTGTCCTACTGCTTCCTCGCACATGTGCTCATACGCATCCCTCCCCAGTCCTATGTGGATTCTCTGATGTCTAATAGTAGTATGAACTTGCATGACAACATAAAAGGTAGCTGCAAGACAGATCTATCCAGCTTCCTTATTTGTGGTATCCAGCTAGCCATTTGCTCTTTTCCTGAGTGTACCTACAAATATGGGCAGAATACTACCTCAAGAGTGGTTAGAAAGGGCAGATGGCAAGAGATGTATCAACCAAGTATCAATCTTATATATATATTTGAAAAAAAGAAAAGAATTGGTGAAGACTTCAGTCTAACTGGGAAGCAAAACTTGACAGTATGAAACTGAATGCTTTTGGTGTATTTTTGCTATAAATTCAAACAAGATAAATGTCAAGTCAGCAATTATAACTGTGAAGCATGAACCAAACAAAGGATTAGGGAAAACTTGGCCTGCTCTACCCAATTCTATCAGGAATTCTTCTTCCCCTTTGATCAGCCCCAATTTGTTAGGCTGTTTCGCGGTGTTGATAGCTCAGCAAATATGACAATCTTCTGAAAATGTGTGAGTTCCAGGTAGATGCTTGGAAAGGCTTTAACTCTTCCCCAGAGTAAGTTGTTCCTGTTTTTCTTCCCAACAGATTGGAATAGTTGGAAGAACAGGAGCTGGAAAATCCTCTCTTACTTTAGGTTTGTTTCGGATTAATGAAGCGGCTGAAGGAGAAATAATTATTGATGGAATTAATATTGCAAAGATAGGGCTCCATGACTTGCGCTTCAAGATCACCATCATCCCTCAGGTAGGTGCGAAATCCTGCCCTTGCCAGAACTTGTTTTATAGCAATGCTGTTTCTGTAATGTACTGGGAGAATATATTTATTCCTTTTCTGATCTATAGCTGTGAAACTGAGTCATTTCAGCATGCTCTTTCATGGACCTGAAACCAATCTTTTTTCCTAGACTGGCTTCGATTTGCTTGTGCTGGGTAACAAGTAGGAGCTTGACTATGGCCAAGTCGTGGTGTGGAAGCAAAACCTTGGCCTCGGGACTCACGGGCTTTGTCAGCACCCCAGGCTGATCACTTAGCCTGTGGGGAGGTCTGGTCCCAGCTGAACACCTGATCGGGGTCCCTTAGTTAACTGGGACCATTGCTTTTTTGGCTAGTAGAAGGGAAGTAAAGTCTGAGTATTTCCACTTGTGGAGAGCCCGCAGGGGAGTTTTTCTAGAGTTTGGTTCCCAGCTTCATTTTAGTTCCAGTCTTCTTAGAAATGGAATGAAGTTACTGCGTAGACTAGTTGTGAGGGATTAAGATTTTGCGTTGCCATTTCAGGCTTGATATGCACTCTTTGGGCCTTTGTACAAAGCATTCTGACTTGGGCAGGATCTCTTGAGTGAAGTAGGCAGTACTGTTCGCTCAGAGAAACCTGTACGTAACCATCCCAGTCTAGCCCAGCAACTGTGGGTTTGATAGTCTAAAACGTTTGGAAATATGGCTTTACAAGCACTGCACTTAGTCTCAAGTCTTCTTGTTCTTACTGTGTAGCTTTTATTGCCCGCCTGTTCTGATTCAAAGTAAGACCATAAAATGTGTTTACATAAATCACTGTTGCAGCATGCTGGCAAAAACAAGTGAGCATACTGTGAGAGGTTTTCTGCACTGCTTCTTTTGGAAATCTGGGGAGAACTCTGCTTTCTCCTTTTGATGACTTTGCATCAGTCTCACACATTAGTGTGAGAGGTCAAAAGTATTTCCAGAGTAGTATCTCTCCATGTCCAAGAAAAAAATGGATTCATTTCATTAATACTGCAGCTGAAGACTTCTGAAATATTTACAGAGGGTTTAATTCCTTAGGAAGTGGAAAGTTGACCTAGTAGTCCCAGCTGACAGAGGGTTGGGCAGGGAGTGCCTGTTCTTTAACTTAGTAGCTCAGTAAAAAGAAAGTTGGCTGTTTTTTTTTTTCCTGTCCCCATCCCTCGATTCATGAGTTACTGACTCATGGAAAGGTCTGGAGTGCCAGACTCTGCAGAGGGCAGAGGTCAGGCCCTCAAGAGGAATTAAAGTGAGGGAGAACGACATCCTGTTACTGAAAAAAGTGAGATCTCTGCTAAATTCAGTAGATTAGTTTGCTTGCAATTGCATCTGGACATGTTGTTTTTCTTTCACTATCTTAGAAATATTTTTGGAGCACTTGCCATGTTCTGTGTACCTTGTCAATTGCCTCTTTCGATGACTAGGATCCAGTATTGTTTTCTGGCTCTCTGCGTATGAATCTTGATCCTTTTGACCAACACTCTGATGAAGACATTTGGAGGTCTTTGGAACTGGCTCACCTGAGAAACTTTGTATCGTCCCTTCCTGATAAACTTAATCATGAGTGTGCTGAAGGTGGAGAGAACCTTAGGTACGTCAAAGAACCATGCTTGTGAAAATTGCCTTAAGAAATAAATGAGAAGTGAGAGGTGCATGTGCCCTCCCATCTGCAACTAGACTTTCCACTTCCAGAAACCTTACAGCTCACTTGGGACAGTCTGTAGCTAGACCCTAGCAATAGCAAGGCAGTGTGGGGCTCCTCACCCCTGGCCTGTATGAGAATTTGAGGAGAGAGTTGGGGAGTTCTTAATGCATGACAAGGCAATCAACCAGCTAGGTCTTACTCAACATGTTTTAAACTCTCAAGTTTAAAGTTAAGAAATACTCAGAATGCTGTGAGGTTCGGCAGCTTGGGCAGTCATGGCAAGGGTTTTAGTAGCAGCAGCCTGCTATTTGTAGTGGATACTCTGAATTTACCATGGCTCTGGCCCAACAGATGCAGTTTTTCCAAGGGAGTTGTTAGCTTGCTTTTTGCACCATAACAGCGACATATGGTCAGTCTGTAGAAACAGTTTAAAGTCCAGTCCTCGACACTGCATTGATTCAGTGAATCAGCCTGATGCAGTTATGCTGAAACCATTTGTAGTGTATTTTCTTATTACGTTGCCAAGACTTCATTGTGAGGGGGATGTAGTTTCAGATGCTGTTAGATACTCTGCAGTGGAAGTGGTAAGACTGACCCTATCTATTTTGCTGGATTCTTGGCGCCTATACTTTAGAGGAGTTCTTACAAGGAATTGCTGGGCTTCAAAATGAATACTGCAAACTTGTTCTGACTTTCTTCCCCACCCTCCCATCCCATCTGCGTAGTGTGGGACAGCGCCAGCTGGTGTGCCTGGCACGAGCTCTGCTCAGGAAGTCCAAAATCCTCGTTCTAGATGAAGCCACAGCTGCTGTTGATCTGGAAACGGATAAGCTTATACAGTCAACAATAAAGTCTCAATTTGAAGAATGTACTGTATTAACTATAGCACATCGTCTGAACACAATCATGGACTACACAAGGTAAAGTAACACGACTTTTACCTTGAAAAATGCCGTGTGTGACCTGCATTGTGCTCTACTTAAATGAACATCTTTGTGTTAGCTAAATGTTTACCAGCTTAAGGAATCACATCCTCAGCTGTCTTGTTAAGGTGTAGTTGAGGGCAGAGTTTTTGTCTCATAATTTCAACTTTAAGCTCTCTTGTCCTTTTTATCACAGAATGGCAGAGAGCAAAGTGACCAGTGATAAGACTTTTGTGTACTCTTGTGGACCTCTCTTTAGGCTGTCAGTAGTGAAAGATAAGAGACAGGAGCGTAGCAGACAGGAGCGTTGCCTGTGCCGGCCTGGCAGCAGCAATACTGTCACCAGATGGACACCCAGTTCAGTCAGGGCAGTGGGTGACACTGCGCAGCAGCACCTAAGGGCTTAACGAGCATCTCTGCAGTGCCTGGCCAATTAGCAGAGGCACTGCTTTAACTGTGAGCTGACTTTACTGGCTGTGCTAACTTGCTCTGTAAACTTCTAATTGCAGTTGCATGTTTGTTTTGCATAAGCTCTCTCTGCATTTTTGTTTTGTCACCAGAAGCTGTATAACAGCAGTTGATGTATTGCAGTATTACAGGAAGGTTATCCCAGATCTTGCAAGGTTGTAGGGGCTCTCAGTCACCTTGACAAGAAGTGCTGCCATCTAGTTTCTGACTGTCTCAGAGCATAGTCAAAAGTCTCATGGCTGCTTGCAAATGACTGGGTAAACATATGCTATGTGAAAAATAGACCAGACAGACCATCTGCAGTGAGGTCAGGAAGGGCAGAGTTGAGAATCTCTGTTCATTCATACAGCCTGGACTGTCTTCACTTGCACATAATGGTTGCGCTACAGTCAGTGTTTGCACATGCACATCTGTGTTCGTTGATTTTCTGGATCTTCTTGTGACTATGTTTTTTCTTTTTTTCCTTGTTTTACAGAGTTTTAGTCTTGGACAGAGGAGAAGTGGTGGAATGTGGTAGCCCAGATGACCTACTTCAGGAAAAAGGCATTTTCTATAGCATGGCCAAAGATTCAGGCTTGGTGTAACATTTGAACTTGGTTAGTTTGTGTGGGGAAGAGGGAGGTGGTACATTCAGAGAACTGTAACTTCCCCTCAGCTGATGTGAACTGTACAGTTCAGTGTCAGACCTAGTGAGGTCAGCCAGAGCATGGTGATGGAAGGAACATAAAAATGCAATTTTTTTTTTTATTTTTATTCTCCTTAGTATTGATTTTAGCCAGCTTTAGGAAAAGCACATACACTGTGCAAAACACTTCAGAAACTTTTAATTTTTGCCTGAAATCTGTCATTATATGCTCAAATGCAAGGCAGAGTGATTCCTCAGAGAAGTTCAGAAAAGCTTTTTCTTTTCATCTGCTCTTATGTTCTGAAGCCTCCCTTTTTTTTTTTGTTCAAAACATTTTTTCCAAATGCTAGTTATTTGCTTGTTTGCTGATTCCTCATTCGATGAGCCATCTATTATGGGATGCACTTGGAACATTTTGTGGCATATAGTACTATAGTCCAAAGATTTTTTTTTTCTTCTTGTGAAATAACATGTGTGCCAGACTTTCTCATTATGGCATTTACTGTACATGGTTAATGCTTTTATGCATTCTCCTAAGGGTTTCATGTGTTTACAGTGTATAGCAGCAAGTTTGCGATAATATATCAGTAGTGCTGATGTGAAAAAGCACAGTCAACTCCAAAGCAGTATTTAAGCATGTCTAGAATGACAATCACTCCAAAACCAAATTCGTGCAGCAGTCGGTGTGTTGCAGTGTGCAGTACCTGATCTTACACCCGGTTCACTCAGGAATTCTGACTTGGGTGGCGAATCCTGGTTGTGCCTGTGGGGACTAGGCTGAGGTTGCAGGCTCGGCATGACATTGATTGTAATACCCTTGGCTTTGGCAGTTCTGTGCTTTAATAGAAGCTCTGCCACATCAAGGACCATTAGCCTTATATTGAAGAAACATGCCCTTCATGCTGCTGCTGTTGACTTTTAAATTTTGTGGGAAACTGTTCTGTTACAGTTGTTTAAAAAAAAAAAAGTTTCACTGTTTTTAAAGTCGTGTATCAGAGGGGTCTAACAATTCAATTAGCAATGGAGTCTGGTTTTCAAGATCTATGTTGAATGTTAAGTTTTCTGTGGGAAGAAAAATTACTTTTCTCATGTTCCGATTAGTCTTATTTTAAAGGAAAATGCTGGAAGAAGGCAAACTTAGACGGACCTAAAAACTCAGCAGTCTGAGAATGTGGACTTCTGTGAACAATATTGCTGACCTTAATACTAGACAATTGTCTTTAGAGTAAAACTATTTATTTTTTTGTAAATTATGACTCTCTGAAATTGAATAGACTGAAATTTTCTTTGTTATTTTTTGTAATGACTATACAAATATTTGCAAAGAACTTGCAGTAAAAAAATCATTTGAAAGATAACATGATGTGTCATTTCTTGCTTTGTATTTGACAAAGAGTTAGCTTCGGCAGTTCAGATTTTTGCTTCGAAAATAGAAATTATTGGTACTGCTTAGACTAGCCAGGCTGCTAGCCTGATGTCTGGAGGGTGTTAAAATGGGTAAGAAAACTTCAGTGCAAATAACTCTGTGGGCTGCATCACATCTCATCATTTCTCTTGTAATTTGAGTACTGCAGTTTGTTGCGCAGACCAGGTAATAACGATGGGTCAGTAGAGCAGGACTCATTGGTGCTGTGGACCTTTGTCACACCTGTGGTGTCCATGGCCTGTGTCTGCCATGCGTCCTGGGTAGCTTGGAGTTAACTTCCTTTGTGGAAACAGAATAGGCAAGGCGTGATTTGAGACTTGACATCCTTGCTCTTACCTAGAGAAGGGCTGTGCCTCTCTCCATTCATTCCGAGCTCTTTGCTCTATGGACTGTTTCTTCTAGTCTTTGAAAAGACCCTTATCTTTCAAAGTAAAGCTCTTTTCTTTCTCACAGAACCATTTTGTTCCAATCTGTTCATTAAAATGTTAAAGATCTGCAAAACCAGTTGAGATCCTGCTGTGCTCTATTTTTTTATCTTACAGCAGCAATGTGTGTGCCATTGCAGCCCACATGAAAATGGTGGTGGTGGTGTGAAATACGTTAATGCTGATTATTATTATAAGCATGTTAATAGTTATAAATAGTTAATAGTTATAAGAGAGTAAAGGAAAACCGTTGAATTTACTGTATTGGATTTCAGTGCATGTTGATATATCCTGACTGACATTATTTGCTGCAACTTGGAAGATATCTCACATCTGGAAAAGCTGCTCCTGCTGACAAAACAGTTCAGGATTGTCAAGAGACCTGCAGACAACACCCTAGTTCTTCACGTGTGTGAATACAGCTACTTCTGTAAAACTGTTCCCAGTCTTGAGACATCTCTGAAGTGGTATCTCTGAGATATCCTGTAGTGGTTCAACTGCAACGTACCACTCTGGGTCACTGATGCCTTTAACATTTT